TATTTGCTAGTATTACTATCACTATCGGACTCGTAACCGACAACGTCAACAATTTTTACGTAAACGAAGCTTTTTTAACATTGATATATATTTTTATATCGAACATTATGCAATATTCTTTAGGTTTTCGTTGTAAAACGTTTAGACGGTTGAATCATCGACTCTGTATCTCTTTATTTTTAAAAATTACACATTTGACAATTGTTTTTTTTTTATTTTTTTTTATATATCATGTTAGTTTTTCATCTTGTTATTAATATAAATATTTCATATACATCTGAATAAATATACATTAATACCGAACGTACATTATACGTTGAATCGTGCGTGTGCTTATGATATTTATAGTAAGTATAAAGGGAGTGGGTCGTACTGTGACATTTAAAATTTTTAAAACCGGTATACATAATTTGAGAGAGAGAGAGAGATAGTAAGCACTAGCAGTATTGTTAATATTATTGCATATATCTCGATAATTATTTGCTTTTGCATAATTAATATTGTCTGTGTCAACATAAAAATTTTCTATCGATATTTTTATTTAATTTTTAATTATTAATCCAAAAAACATTGTACAATTAACATAAAGTTATGTAGTTCATTAAAATTTCAATAACGTATTTCTGTAACTTCCTTCATACTTATCTTAATTTGAAAAAAATATTTCCTAATGTTTTGTAAATAATAAATTTGACACATTAGTAGAAGATTGTCATTGAATATTCATTTTGTGCATTAAAAAAGAACTTTTTTTCTTCTACATTTTTATAGAAGAAACCAAGCGTTAACGGTCCGAAACAGAATGGTATCGCCGAACATCAAAACAGCTCAAAAGAAGGCAGCATTGGCACTTCCGAAAGCAAAGGGAAGGAGAACAAGGAACAAAATCACTTTCACGAGGACAGCGATGAACAGACGGATAACGTAGATAGGAAAAAGAAAAGTACATATATATGTATATGCGCGTATATATACAATATTGAATAGTTTATCTATTTGAATTTTAATAGCTTTTTTTTTTTATTAACCGTTTCATACAATTTTTTTTCTTTTTTTTTTCTTTACCACGATATAATTTTATTTTTTCCTTGCTAATGTACCTTTTACTTAAATCCATTAAACTTTATTTAAAAATTATCGACAACTATTCAGGCATTTTAAAATAAATAAAATAGCATCGCTTAAATACAATGTAATAATTACATTATTCTTTCTAATAAATTAATATTAAATTTATACTTTATTTATTGTATGTTTATTTTGCAGCAAATAAATTAAAATGGGTTCCTTTAGAAATTGACATTTCGAAAAATCGTGGAAAGCGCGATCGTTCTCCAAAACATTTACATAGAGACAAAAATGGAGATAGGCGACTCGGTAAGTTTTATCATTTTTTGTTTTGTTCAATGGAAAAAAAAACTGCATATTTTATTTGAATGTTTATACTATATATTGTAATGTTTAGTTAATTCATAATATATATTTAAAATAATATTGTGATGCACAATAAATTGACGAATAATATTGAGTATGTAATTATTTGAAAAATAATAAAACTAAAGCTTTAGAATTTTGGCTTTGATTTTGAGATAAACATTAAATCAAATAATAATGATAATAATGTATAGAAGGAAAAATCAATTTCAATGAAAATCACTATCTGTTTCCACATTAGATGACAATTGGCGAGAAAGAGACTTTGATAGGCCCACGTACAATAATACATACCGGGGAAGTCGCGGAAGAGGATATAGAGGCAGAGGGAGAGGACGTGGAGGTCTCTCTCGTGGTGGTTTCCGGCACAGATACGATTATATAGGATATCCACTGGATTATTCTCAGGTGATAAATAATTTTTTTTTTTTTGCCTAATGTTCTGCTATATTAATTAAAGTAATTGGTTACCAGAATTGTCTTTTAAATGACCAATTGCATTCATTCATATTTGCAAAATAAAATATATTTTATACTAATTGCCTGATTATGTGTTTCAGATTAATAAATTTGGTGCAACCAATCCTTCCTACATGATGCCTTATATGGGAACGTTTTATTTTAATAACGTAAATTATGTAAATTTGGATAACACGACGTTAAAAGAGTATATAAGAAAACAAATGTAGGTATTAAATGATTAATTATTGATTGTACCTTGTCACTACATATCTCCTACGTCGTTTCTTCAACCGATGTGTTTAATTTCCGTTCTCTTTCCTTCTTTTTTTGCAGAGAATATTATTTTAGCGAAGAAAATCTTTTAAGAGACTTTTTTTTAAGACGAAAAATGGACGCTCAGGGCTTCCTACCGATAACTCTAATAGCATCCTTCCACCGAGTTCAGGCCTTAACTACGGATGTTTCTCTAGTCATAGAGGCCATTACAGAGTCAAATAAATTAGAATTAGTGGATGGTTTTAAGGTGATATATATTATTATTCTGTTTTTATTACTTTAAAATTTTATGCACGGTATTATCGTATATTTGGCAGTTTAAATACTCGTTGAATTAGTGTACATGTGCAAAATTAAAAGAAGGTTTCGCTAACGCCGTGAGGACGATTGGTCCGATGAATGGAGTTTGATGGTACCTTTTCTAACATTTTATTCTCTCGACTACATCTTTCGATCAATATGTCCAATCAATGTATTATCAAAGATGAATATATTTTACATTGTATGCATTTGTTTCTTGATCAATAAGAATGTATGCCAAAGATCGCACCCGTAGGCCAAAATAGGCACATCATTAATATGATTTTTATTTGCTCATCAGGTGCGCACTTTACTCGATCCACTTAAATGGCTGATCCTCGATACCGCTGGCAATCCAATGTATTCGGATTCATCCGACACCTCGTCCAATTCACAAAATGACGTAATGTTTTCTCATCCTTATCAAATGGATTTTCATCCAGCAGCCAAGCCCTTGGCAACAATTCCGACACCACCTATACCCCGCATGTTTCAAACCACATCCGTAATCACCGAACCGCTGCGACTCAGCGAATCCGAAAGCGTCGCCTCGTCGCTTGGCGACAGCCTCAATCCAGATGTGCCAGAATTCGTTCCGATTGTATCGAGCGTTAATAAATCGGAGGACTCTGCGGAGACGCAGGAGGAGCAAGTAATCGAAATGTCCGAAAAGTCTGATTCGAGAAAGAAAAACGCAAACGTCGAGTTACAGGAAAACACGAAAGAGAAGTCTGATTTACCCTTAACTAACGGAGATGCTCAACCGGGCATCGATGATGTTTGGAAAGAAGTACGTACTTTGCTAATCTAGTATTCTTGTTGCTAATCTGTCCAATAAATGCGGTATTTATACAAAGTATATGCTTAAACTTTCTCATAATTCGTCAGCCGAATAGCATTAATGATAAAATGTAAGCTTTAAGATAAAAATTGCGTCACAGACACTTATCTCGTTCACACATAATAAATACATAATAAATCTATGAAAATTCATTTGATATTGTCGTTTATTGTTATTTGTAAATACATTAACTATTCGACAGACAATTAAAATATTAATTAATAAATAGGTATTTACTGATTGTTCTTGGTGTCTCAAATATCCTTCTCTTTTGATTTGCAAAAATAGGTTAAGAGAAGAGTGAAGCAGCCTTCGAAAGCGAAGAATGTAAATAATCAAAAAGTGAATAATAAAGAGCAGGAGAAGGAAGAGCTGGATTTTCAGTTTGATGAAGAACTAGATACTCCTCCGCCTACTGGGCGTCACAATGCTTTCTCAGAATGGTAAGAATGTGCTAATCTTATCATTGCCTTAAAACTGTCATGATTTTGTCGATGGACTCTCTCAAAATATGATATCTATTCATCTAAAACGTGTTTGATTTAATTTAAGGTCCGAGGACGATGATGATTACGAATTATCAGACAGGGACATAAATAAATTACTGATTGTTACTCAGACTTCGTCATCAAGAATTCCTAAACACGAGGGCTACGACAGAACTGGAGATTGGACCACACGAGTTAAAATGTCACAAGACCTTGAGCAGGCGATCAACGATGGCTTATATTATTATGAAGAGGACCTTTGGGGAGAGGACGGGCAAAGAGTAAGCGATGATAAACATTGTTATATATACTGTATTTTTCATACAATGAAAACGACCATTTGAATATTTAATTATAATATAAACATAAAATTTGTTCAATTTTCAATTCAGCACTAAAACAATGATAATGAAAAATTTAGGTGACATATTGTTAAAGAAAAGAGAGAGAGAGAGAGAGAGAGAGAGAGAGAGAGAGAGAGAAAATAGAAAAGAAAGAAAAAATTATTATTAAATGATGAAAATTATTATTTTTGTCTTCTTTTCCCGTCAAAAGAAATTATGTTGATTAAAATTTATCTGAAGATAATTATATCCGCAAATACAAAAATTCACCATCACGTCGTATTTAGTAATAACAAAAAAATGTGTATCAACAGTATGGTTCTTCATCATCAGTCGGGAGTTATAAGACAATTAACGTCATCAGTCAAGAGGCTTTTGAAAAGATAGCACCGAAAGCTCCTCGGAAAGCGAATCCCGAGGTACCGCCACCGCCGCCAATGCCCATAGAGGAAATAGAAATGCAAAAATCCATTAAACCACCCGCACAGTCAGCGCAGGTACCCATGACATTAGTACCGGAAAAGCGCGAGCAGATTGTCGAAAAGAGGCGTAAAAATGAGAAATTCCGCGAAGTCAGAAGGACTGTGCCGCGATTTTTCGCTGTTGTTAAAGACGAACCAGCAGTTGATCCAAGAACACCGCGGAAGCGTAAAACACGTCACAGCAACAATCCTCCCGTTGAGCATCACGTCGGTTGGATTATGGATGTTAGGGAGCACAGACCAAGAACTTATTCGACAGGGTGAGTAATAGTGTAGCTACAGTGAGAGATAATAATTTATAGAAATTTTGATTTATTCTATGTTATGATTGTAAATTAATAGATTGTCTAGTTTTCTCGCACTCGTCGTATGCCCTAGTTTTCCATGTATTATAATATGAATAGAGTTCTTTTTAGAGAAAATTAAAAAGAAAGAAAAAAAGATTAAACTTCATTTAACAGAGTATTAAGATTTCCGTTCTAGGCGTAGTTTTCATTGTAGTATATTAAAAAAGGAAAGCCATTCAAGGTATGAAAAGAAAAGATAATCATAGTTATTGCGAGGTAATAATAAATAAAATGACGTTTCAATGCTTGCGAGCAAATTAAATACGTCGTGAATTTTTTCTTTTCATTTCATGCATAATAAAATTTACGACTGGGTCAATATGAGGATCGTTTGATAGTTTTATTATATTCGCTGTGACTGTGAAATGCTTTCGTCATTCAAAACTTACTTTCATTGTATTCAAACTTTCAATTGCAATGTAGTAATAATTTAAAGCCTTACTGTTCCACTGTAATGATTTAAATGAAATTTTTGTCCATGTATATTGGATCTAAAAATACATATGTATACTAAAGTTTTCAGAACATCTATTCTAATTATTTTATTATTCACAAATTTTTTAAACCAGGCCATTTAGCATTCAAAGATAATTATTGTCTTTTATGCAAATAACTCGTGCGATTAAAATATACGTATAGAGTGATCGAGCTAATTAATCTGTGTTAAGGAGCAACGTAAGATCTGACATACGGATAGACTTTTAATTTGAAAAACTTGCTTCATTAGCAAAGCAATACTTATCCATCCAATAGTAAACTATTAAAAATTTAATTAAAAAAAAAAAATCAAATAATTATTGATTTTTTTTCTTCATTTCTTAATTTACTGTTAAATTGATGTTGAGAGAGCGTACATTATATTAAAGTGTAAATGTAGTAATAGTATACATTAAAATAAATATAAATGTATTTATAAAATTCGTTATATAATTTTTTGTCGTTGTTGTTGTTGTTAGTGAAAATTAAGAACTTATGATATTTTCATAAAGCTAATGCAAGTATATTTATCATTTTTAGAA